CGCCTTCAAACTCGTCAATAGCCGGTACGGGCCCGAGCCGCACGGCGCCGAGTGGGCCACCCGTGAACGTGGCGAGAAACCCTGGGTTCATGTAGATGTCATGACGCGGCGCCACGCCAAGGTAGCTGGCCTTCCCGCGGCTTACTTGAATCGCGTGCGAGGGTGCGTCGGTCGCGACTTGGTTTTCGCAAATCCAATTTGGATCAAATTTGCGCTGCGGGCAAAAGGCGATCGAATCGATCTCGGCCGACGACGCAGTTGACGATGCGAGGTAGAAGCTCGCGCGGCGCACCATGCACGTAATCGCCATGTCGTGGCCGTCGATGGAAAACTGCACTGTCGGCTTGTTCCACCCAGCGAGGTTGTTGATGTGCTGGATCGTGATCACCGGGGTGGAATTCTGGAAGCGCGGCTGCTCAAAGTTGGAGATGTTGGCAAACGTTTTGGCGACCGCACTCCAGAGATGGTTGGTCTCTGGAAGAAACGCCGCCGCGCACGCAACGTCCTTCTTGCTGCAGCTCTTGTACAAGAGCGTGCTCAGCGAGAGCGTCGCATCCAAGGGCAACGGCGTTGCGAGCGGAAAGGTCAATGAGCCTTGGAGCAAGACGTTGACGGGAATGTTGAACTGGTTGCTCGTAAACGTCTCAACGTTGAGGCCCAAGCCCACGTGCGTGTTCGCGAGCAAGTTGAGGTAGGTAGTAGGTGCTAACGGCGACGACAGTGGCGAAGGCGAGGTTGAGGAGCGCCAGCGCCAGGCCCTGGCCGCACGGCGCACGCCGCGTTGGCATCGAATCGAACGGAACCACAAGTGCTGCTGACCGCGCCAGCATCATACTGCTCGGTTGCGGCCCCGCTGCTTAAGGGCTAGGGCAGTGAGCTATTTCTGGTACACCTATCTCTTTCGATGAGTCTCAAAGCGTGGTTGTGGACGGCGTCATCGCATATACTGGTACCTTGTAGGGCGCAAGACTTACGCGGGTGGTCCATAAACACAACCAACCAAGAGACAGCTCGTTCACAATTTCGTCTCTCCGTCGCCCGTCCCTAGAAGCGCCACTCGTGGGCGGTTGCGTAACCCCAACGCATGAACGAGCGCCATCGTCCCGCTCTGTACCGCCGTGTGATGTGCAACTTGACAGTAGCGCCATCGGTCCCAAGGACCCAAGCGTGGATTGCTCTTCGTTGGAAGCGGGTTGTACCGCGATGATATCCGTCTACATATCTGCAAAGCGCCTGGCGCGCGGTCCACCAACGCTGAGGTTGATCGGCGTTTCGGGGTTGGAGCCTTCCGCAAAGCAATGTCGTACGTTCATAGCTATCTGCTACGCAGGGCAAGGGATGATCTTCCTTGATGTCATGTACACCTGCTGCCAATTCCTTGGTACTATATATGCAGCGAGATCTGTCCGACCAAAGACGGCCTCGAAGAAGGCGAGCTCCGTGGCGAGCTCGTAGGATTGAGTTTGTTGAGAGCAACGTTGCTGAGGTTGAGAGAATGGTAAGTTATACAGTTAATGGATCATATTGCGGCCAAAGACCTCGACGCGCTTCTGCCGGCGCTGAAGGCCGTCGAGCGCCGTCTTCTTCCACTTGCGCAGGAGGCAGCGCGCGACTTCACGGACGTTCTCGGACTCGGTGCGCCGGTAGATGCGCACGAGCGACTGCCCGATCTCGGTCTCTTCGAGGAGCTCGAGCGAGATGAAGCGCTGGTCGAGCTCCTGCAGCAGCATCGGCAGCTCCTGCTCGTCGCAGACGTCCATGATGTGGGCCAGCGACTGGATCTCCTCCACGACCTCGACCTTGGTCCCGTGCTCGATCCTCGTCTGGCGCAGGCGCGCGCTTGGCTTGGGCTTCCCGGGCACGATGCGCTCGCACGTCGTCTGTACCGGCACGAGGTACCGGTCCATCATTCCGCGGGAGATGTACCCTCTGCAAACCGATCATGAACAGTATCGGATACGAGAGGTTTGGAGGAAAACCGAATTCGGTTAAAGTTAAACCAAATCGTTAAAGACGTCGCGTCTCGCACCGG